AAGAATTTTATTACACATTTATGTTATTGTTAAAAATTCTGCTTAAACTAACCAGTTTTCTTTGTTATACTTTCGAAAAAAACTGTCATTTTTATTTTTTATTAATTTTTATTATTCGATATCATTGTAATGATCGATATCTCTGTCAATGTATCATATATGTTTAAATATACGAACTCATAGATATGTACAAGATATCTGTCAATATAATTTTTCATGAAATCATCAATAAATCCTTCGAAAATTTCATTAAATTTTTATGTTAAATTTCAAGATTTTGCCAATATTTTAATTTATATCAATCGGAGACTGTAACAGTTATGCTCTTTATAATTTAAGTGTTAAAATTCAATTTAAATTTTTCGTTCAAATTTAATCGTTATTTTATGATTTTTATTTTTCGATCAAGAATAATCGTTATTTTTGGATTTTTATTTTTTCGATCATCTTATAACCGTTTTTTTCAGATCTTGGTTTTTAGATGATAAATGGTTTAAATCGGATATTAAAACGAAGTCTCTATTATAACGGTTAAAAATATTAGAATAAATAAAAATACAAATTTAACGACAATTTTTGATCGAAAATCCGATTATGATATAATCGAAAAATATAAATCTTTATGCTCAACAATTTTTATTGAACTTGAGGCCGTTTTTAATGAAAAACTTAGGCACTCCGCACATTAAGCGCCTAGTCATAGTAGCGTAATCGTTCCAGCATACTAAAGTACGAAGCTTTTATGCCGAACACATGTATTTCAATGAAGCTCATTATGATTGATAATCAAATTTTCGCCTAATCATAAAAGCTTCATGAATCGAAATGCCCAACATTGTATGGCGCTTGCCGTTTTGAAATCGTCATTTGTTTACTTTTTTGTGTTGGAAGTAAAAATTATTTGTCATTTCAATAAGAAATAATTGAAAATAAATGATTTTGTGCTAGAAATCGTGCCAATTGTATTAAACCATAAGCAAGCCTTCATGCAACATTTTATTGCAAAAAAATTCCGCGAAAGAGTGTAACTAAGAAAGAACGGCCAGAAAATGTGTAATGTGTGTGCCAGCATGGCTTATGCAAGGCGCGCAAGTGTGCAGAAGTGGAGTCGTCATGCATTCGTTTCGGCATGACGAAACAATTACTCTACTATGATTAGGCGCGTAATGTGCGGAGTGCCTTATTGTGAAAATGCCACAAAATTTGAAAAAAGCGATAGCTATTTCAAGCTCAATAAAAATTGTTGAATATAATTGTTATAAGGCCATAAAATAACAAAAACAAACCCCTTTATGTTTAACCGTTATTTTCGGTTCCTGATATCAAAACGGTTATCGATATCACAATGTATAATTTTCGTAGTTTATTAATTACTGGCGATATTTTTTATCGATATCCAATTTTGGGTATTTTTACCGTTATTTTTATTTGCAAATTTCTTTATTAAAAATTTATCATTTTCGGACGAGTTGGTCATTTTGTGGCCGTTAAAATTTTTCCAATGGTTATCGATAAATGTTTTGTATTTTCGGCTAAATGGTTTTTTCCATTGACGATTTCTACCATTATACCCAAAACAATTTTACCCACTTTGTGCAGCTGAAACTTTCTAACCTCCTATGCTTCAATTCGCCAACCTCAACTATCAACTTTTTTTCAACTAGCATTCGCCCGTTGCTGATTTATTTAGTTGCTAATATGTTAATTGAAAACATTCTCATGTCAGTTAATTATCGCAACACCTAGCTTCACTTTGCCAATACGCTTCCCCACTCTACATTCTAGATGGCCCACTGTCCCCGCCCAGCACCCTATTCATTTCAGTAACACTATTCTCAGCTAAGTGCTACTTTGCACAAACAAATCCAAGCAGTCAAATATGCCAAACAACAACAACAACAAATAAACAAATAAGTACAACTAAGTAGCTTTAATGCTATGTTACACGGAGCGTAATACCCCGTTTCGCTCCATTTTGCACTTTGGCTGTTCGTTCAGCTGTCACATTGTAATTTATATACGTCAATCGAAAATGTCAAATGACTAATGAACGAATCAATGAAAATGTGATGGGCGGAAAATAAGAGAGAAAGCGTTAATGGAAAAAAGTTGCAGGAATAATCAATTGCTAAATATTAAGTGAACTGGCAGTTTGGGGACTATGGGTTAGGGGCGTTTTGTTAGTTGTTCTACTTTTTTGTTTGTATATCGGTGTAGATTTTGTGTATGATTAGTTGATTAATAGCTTAAATAAAGTCAAAAGACCCAAGGCTTGGGGTTTAGTAGTGCTTTTAGCTTTTGTATTTATCAAAAAAATTCCATTTTTTTTGGCCAACATTTGATCCTCCTAATGTTGGCTAATGAACAAATGCGTTCATAAGTGAGCGATCTGATATTCTAAAAAAACGTACCCGCAAGTAAACGATCATTAGTGTTTTTCTTATATTTCATATGACAAGTTACATATCTACTCTTCAGTGCAGGAAAAGTGAACTCACTTGTCAAGGTTGTCAATCGCTTTGAGCACGAATATTTTTGGAGCGGTGTCGCTCCAGTCTCGAGCATCAACTTCATGCGCCGAGCCTCTGCTAACTAGCTAGCTAGTTTTTCAGCGTTATCTTCTCGACAGGGTTGAATTTGTCTTATTTTTAGCTCAGGGAGCAAGTGAGTTCAGCTCACAAATGTGAGTTGACCTGGTTTCTCCTGGTGGTCACTCCGATGTTCGCCCCGAACTTTGAAACAGAGTTGCTTCCAAATAAGATCCCTGTTTCTTTTCGTGAGCAACGATACAAGTTTATTATTCCTTTGTGCCAAATAGTGTGGAATATTACCCAGATCTTTCTTGTGTCAACAAGGACAAGCTGAAGTTCTCTCTTGGCAAAAACGCTTCAGTATACCAATTCGAGGTATTTGAAACCCCTAAGGGCTACTAAGTCAGAAATAGATGGAGAAGCAAGAGTTTACGTATCTGTAGTGGCACTGACCATCCCTCTAACTTCTCCCAGAGTTGTTCGACACTGCCAGACTATGTTGGGAAAAAGAGAAAGCCCTTTTACTCTGGATGCCAAGTCAAGCGGAAGTAATTGGAAATGAGATACGTGACAACTTGGCTAGGGAATGCTCAGATCTTGATTCGCAATCAATTAACGTCAAAAACTGTAAAATATTTCGCTGTGTAATAACTACAGGTGCAAAAAGCTCATGTTACCCTCAATCTCAGATGGGTATAAATGCTAGGTATGTACATATTCGCTTTCGTTGAGCAGATGACACTGCAGACAACTTGTGGCATTGACTTCGTTTCCTCTTCCTACCTGGAAGAATAAGAGATGGCGTATTGTTTTCTTTTCCTCCTCCTGCCTTGAAGAATATGAAACAACCAATCGAACAATGTGCGCTAATGTGCCGCCTTTGCAAATATTATGTATTCATCTTTTACAAGTGATGATAGACGAACAACTGACCTATTTAACACCCAAGAGTCTGCTCTGATTTACGCATAGATCTTTTAGCTGTCATAAAGATTCCCCAAGAATTTTTTGGGGAGCATTTCTGGAGTGACAGATATAAATCTGGGTCGTTCCGATTACGTAGACCCGTCTGTNGCTGGAAATGATCTTGATTCGCAATCAATTAACGTCAAAAACTGTAAAATATTTCGCTGTGTAATAACTACAGGTGCGCAAAGCTCATGTTCCCCGCAATCTCAGATGGTTATAAATGCTAGGTATGTACATATTCGCTTTCGTTGAGCAGATGAGACTGCAGACAACTTGTGGCATTGACTTCGTTTCCTCTTCCTACCTTGAAAAATAAGAGATGGCGTATTGTTTTCTTTTCCTCCTCCTGTCTTGAAGAATATGAGACAACCAGTCGAACAATGTGCGCTTATGCGCCGCCTTGCAAATATTATGTATTAGGCTTTTGTAAGTGGAGTGATGATAGACGAAGAACTGACCTCTTTAACACCCAAGGGTCTGCTCTGATTTACGCATAGATCTTTTAGCTGTTTTGGGGAGTGTTTCTGGAGTGACAGATATAAATCTGGGTCGTTCCGATTACGTAGACCCGTCTGTCGTGGGAACGTATTCGAATAGCTCCTTGATTGCTGTGATTAAAAAGTCAGTCGAGAAAGGGGAAAGGTCAATCACATTGGAGCTGTTTCTGGAGTCGTCAGTCGCGGTGCGTGGTTCCTTTGGGGGATTCGGAAATACATACTATGTCGAAGAGAAGTCTAGGTCTACTACAAAGATGCCGAACGTGTCTATGCATCTATTGNTCAATCACATTGGAGCTGTTTCTGAAGTCGTCAGTCGCGGTGCGTGGTTCCTTTGGGGATTCGGAAATACATACTATGTCGAAGAGAAGTCTAGGTCTACTACAAAGATGCCGAACGTGTCTATGCATCTATTGACGCGTAACTTTATTCGGTAGGATCTAGGTTAGATGCCTGGTATACAGATCCCATCTACACATTTACCCCTTTCCTATCAATCCTGTTTGTAGGCCAACCACAATTCCTTTCCATTCTGTCAATTGATTTAAGATAAACATTTTTTTCGAATAAGAGCGTGTGGTAATAAGTAGGAAGAAATCAATAAAGTTCGATTATAATTTTTGTGAAGGGCTGAGGGCATACGTACAAATATGTTCTATACAAAAACAATAATAAATAGCGGTCATGGCTTAGATAAAAAATGACATAATGGCAGCATATACAATCAAATATAACCAAGTATCGAAATAAGTGGAGCTGAGAAATGGAAATAGATTAAAAAGGTTGAAGGAGGACAGAATCAAATTATTACAAATATTAATGAAAACTAAAACCAAAAAAAAAAACACAGAAAATGCATAAAAATCATACAGTTTATGAGGGGTCTGGGATTCCATGGGCAATGTGTTGTACAAATACATAAATGGAATTGAATTCAAACCCCAATCGATTACTTCACACCACTCATTCATTAACAAACGCATTTTTTCATTTTTCTTTCCAGATAAAATACGACACACAGCACAAAACTGAACGCAACGAAGCGAGGCATTAAAGCATAAAAAATTCATGCAAACAAAAAAACAAACAGAAGCGAAAGGACATAAAATTAAACAAAAGACAGCGGTGTGTACGCTTTTGGCGGGAGAGTGAGAGAGACCGGAAACGCGCTGAAGTGGAATCGACGGGAATGTGGTAAAGCGAAACCGAGAGGAACGAACGGGAACGTACAAGCGACGCAAGCAATGAACCGAGAACGGCAACGCGGTTAAGGTCAACGCAATAAAAATAACGAAAAATAAAAGAAAAAATAAACAAAACAAGAAATTGTGCAGAGAAAGATAAATAATAAATAAAAAACGAAAAGCGTTCGCGGCGGCAACTAGTGAATGGAGGCGAAAAGGCAATAAATATAGACAACTTGCAAACGGGTGAGAGGCAAAGCAGGGAGAGGAAAAGAAGAAGGTCGTTTGGGGCTTGTGATTTTGTTCGTATTTTACGATTTTTACGTTTTCTACGACCAGCAGCCGCGGCAAAAGGCAAACAGCAACGACGAGGAATTGAAATTAGAAAGATAAACAAGCATGTGGGAAAGCAAAATATTACATTGAAAGCAAAATAAAGAAGGCAGATGCCATAAGAAAAGTTGAATGACAACAGGACACAGCAAATGCGAATGGCATTGATGCAGAAAAGTGAAAACGTAAGTGAAATTTCAAGCGCGGCACTAAAGCTTTAGTGACTTGCGGAAAAGCATAAGTGAAACAGGCAGCCAGCGGAAAAGCAAACTTGAAGAAATAGATGATGGAAGCAATCCGTTAACAGAACATACAAGCTAACAGAACTTTTAGAAAAAAAATTACAAAAAACTGCCAGAATAGCGAAAGGCGCTGCTTTAGCGGCAATTGAAATAATATAAAATCCATTGAAGTTTTTAGCAATAATTTTCGCAGAAGAAAACATATCAGAAGCAATTTTTTGCTTTATATATTATTTTCATTGCATATCTGTAGGCGCTACAAGCCACAAAACCGCTAAGAAGCTGTGAAGAGCATTTAAATACAAAACTAATTTCCAAGCACTGGAAAGAACGAGGCTAAATTATGCACAAAAGCTAAAATAAAAGCAAAAAAATATCAATGTAATAAAGAATTTACAAACAAAGCAACAATACACGGCGCCCAAAAGTATGCCAACTAATTGCACAAATAAATAAAAGCGCCTCACACACACAGCAGCTAGCAAGGTAAACGGCAAGCAGCAACAGCACGGCAATCAACGGAATCGACAACGCATAAATTAGGCCTAATTGAGGCATAAATTTAGGCGCGAGGACATATATGCATTTATACAGCTGTCAGCGCAGCATAGGGACACAATTGAAGGAGAGCGGCGAAAGAGAGTAGAAGAAAGTGGAAGAGTAATAGCAGCGCGCGAGTGATATAGCAAACGTGCGAGCTTTTCAAAACGAAATAAGGCTTCCCCATCAACTTCTAGTCAATCGCGCGAGAGCACACACACACACACCGACTGCTTACGCCAACTAAATATCAGCACCCACACAACCTCGAAAAGATGGCGTTCATTTGGCGTCGCCGCTCTGCGTCCATTGTGAAAATCGTTGCCATACTTACAGCCATTTGGTTCACAGTCGCCTTTTTCATCTACAGCGATGATGCGGGCAGTGAGAACAACAGCAACAACAAATGGAGCGGCATGTCGTTGGCGCTGAAAAGCGTCGCAGGTGGTGGTGGTGGTGTAGGCGGCGGTGCGCCAAACAATTTGCCTGCCGACCATGATCAGCAGGGCATTTATGAGGCTGGTGGCGGTTTTGGTGTGGATCGTGGCGGTGCGATTGCCGACGATGGTGTTGACGCACTGAGCGGTGGTGGTAGGCGCGAACAACGTCGCGGTGTTGGCGATGTGCCGCCATTTGAGAATAATCAGCTGAATGCGAATGAAGATGTTGGCGCGGCTGGTGATGGCAACAATAATGCTGACGTGGATGCGGGCATTGTTGAGCCTGACCTCAATGTAGGCGATGAATCAGTGCAGAATAATGTGGTGGTGGCGCATCCAAATGAGAACGTCTATCGTGGCAAATTGATTGCGGGCAATAAACCCAGCAGGAGTGGCAGTAAAAAGGGTCCTGAGGAAGATGGTAAGTTTGCCTAGTGTCCGCTCTAACTTAGAAGTACTTAAGTACGTATATATATTAAGCTCGAATGAGTAGCTCAAATATTTATATAAGTTTTTTCGCCCTAAAGTTAACCTTTGCTGTGCTTGCAACATTTTTGCGAGTTAATTTGATGGCTTTGTTGTGTGTATTTGTGTTGCACAAGTAACTGGCTCATCAAATTAATGTCGTGTATATGTATTTAGCTATGTGCCTGAGTAGTCTTGCGCATACCTAAGTATATATCGGTATATTTTGTACGCCATTAACCATTGTGCTAATGCCGGACAATTGTGTTTTTGTGGCTTGTCCTGATTTGCTTTTAAGTAGTGTGCTTTGTTAGTGTGGTTATTTGTCATAAAAGGATTAGCAGACCGTGCGAATGTCTAATTTATTCCAATAAGGCACACTGTTACATTCAGTGGGTAGGTGTGTTTTAGTTCAACTGGCATATTTTCCGCTGCCTTAAGGCGAGAAAATATCGCTACTGAAAAGTTTTTGAGAAAGTGAAGAAAAGGGTTAAAATTTTCGAAGGAAACCCTTTGTGTAACACCGTGCCACAAAAAAAAAGCGAAACACTTGAAGCAATCAATATACTCACGAAACTGTGGGCCAAATATAGTAAAACTGTGTTTTTAGTTTTTCTCTCTGACGTCGGGATTTTTTTAAAAGGACTCTGTTTTTTTCAAGGGTATGATTAATTCCAAAATGTATTTAAAAGAACTCTTCCAACTTAGAAAACCAGTATTTTCACCAAATAAAACAGACAATTCTGTAGAATTAAAAAAATTAAAATTTTTTGGTTCACAATAACGGTATTTAAAATATCCTTTTAATTAGATTTACTTTATTAAGCGAATAAAGTTATAAGGGCGAAATACGAAGATGTGGTGCATATTGGTCCTTAACAAAAATTTTTCGAAAATAATTATTGTAAAATTTTAAGGACATTCAATGATCAAATGTGAAAAAACATGTTCAGTACCTAATCGTCCTTATGCGCCAAAAAATTGACCCTGCCTTAATTCTACAGAATTCTCTCTTTAATTTCATGGTCATACTGTTTCTCTACATCGTACGGATTTGCTGCTTTTTTTAATTTTAAAAGTAATTGTATTTTTCTAATTTCAAAGTCCTTCAAAAAAAAATCCTGACATCAGAGAGAAAAACTAAAAACTCAGTTTTACTATATTTGGCCCATGGCTTCGCGAATATATAAAATTTTTTCTGTATCGCACGGTGTAATATATCGACGTAAAACTAGGTTTATTGCCTCTGACTGCGACGCTGTCTGCGGAGGGTTGCTCGAGAAGGTTATGGAGCATGAATATTCTTCAGATCAGTCTTCAGCACTTTAAGGTGGCATCCGCCAATCTTTTATCCACCCAATCCTTTCCTAATAATCGGTACATCCAATTGTCGTCATACTTAGCGCTTCCTAAACAATATCCCTACAGAAATCTTAGCAGAACCAACGAGGGCTTATACTGCGACAGCCTGCACTATATTCATCCGGTGGAATCCGCGAGTGACGGGATCTGGTGTGAAAGCTTAATTGACGAATAAATTGGTGTTTTGACCTCGTCGTGTAAGAGGGCGATTGAAATCTCTTGTGCCCTGCGTCAGAATAAAGGAATGAGCAAACCGCTCTGGTGGTCAAAGGAGCTTTCCGACCTCAAAGTCTCGAGCCGAGGCATTTTAAATAAGGTCATGAGGAGTAAACTAGCATCCGACTGTAAGTCCAAGATTAGGAAAGCGAAATGAGATTCATGGTGGCGTGCAGGTTAGCCAGGAATGTTCGAGATTTAGGCGAGTTCCCTATGGGAATCCTCTTCTCCTGGGGTAAATCAGGGACAAGAATCGAAACTGGACGCGGAGCAGTGAGGAGTTCCTCCTTGATGTTCACTCCCAAGCAGCCCGGATCCAAAAAGGATCCGCCTATGCTGACTATGTAGCACTGCTAAGGGGAAAGTTTCTGAAACCACACGTTTAGCTCATGCAGGGTTACCTGAACTTGGTTTAAAACTGGGCTTGTAATTTGTACTAGGAAGTATAAGGGACCGACTTGCCATCTTCCCTCATTGCGCGGTATTCTACTAAGGCTTTACTCGTCTGGTGGAACGCACTAAACGAGGCCTTCATCGTCAAACAGCTGGACGGAGTAGAAAGAGCAGCTTTAATTGGAATCAGTAGCGCACTTCGAACTACTCCTACTCTGACGATCAATGCTATGCTAAGCGTTGTGCCCACAGACATAGCAGGCGCTGCTTGCTCCGCATAGAGCTAAGCAGGCTTTTAGTTCGCCTCGAGCTTTGGGCATGCCAATATTTTTAAAAGGTTCGATTTCTACCAACTCGAACAGATGACTACACGCCGAGTTTGGGTTCGAAGGAGTCTTTCCACACAGGCCCAGCGAGGGAGGCCTGGGATGGGTGCAATTTCTGGAATCGGGGTACTTTAAACGGATAGATCGAAGCTCAATGGGAAGGTAGGAAATTTAGGCTACCGTTTTCCAGGCACAGGTAGCCGCAATATTGGTTTGGTTGCTCACTAGTGTAACGCCTTTCATGGAGGTGAATATGTATTGCGACAACCAAGCAGCCATCAAGGCTGTTGACACTCTGATGGTTTGTTCGAGAAAGATCTGCCGATCGGATAATCGGCAAGACAGGGAACCCTTGGGGAACTACTCCCGGGCAGAGTTAGTCTGAGTGGTGCCCTGAACTCTTGTGGTCTACTCCTGGATAGATGGGCGTTTGCTCACCTTAGCGGGCACCAGGCGAATACCTTAGAATGCAAGGTGGCAAAATTCTTCTGGCCAAGTGTAGACCGGGGCCGGTACTTGACTTGAGACTAAGCAATGTACACCTTCCGCTAGTAAGCATGCGGTAAGGCTAAGTACCATCGGTGACCCCTATTGTACAAGCTGCATGGAGGACTATGAGGTGGAATCATCTCAACATCTGCTGCTCTGGTGCCCCGCTTTTGCCAACCTTAGGTATAAGCACCTTGAGTCCCAGTTTTCCCACACTCCCGATTGGCTTTCGGGAATGGATATTTGTCGTTTGAGGAGCTTCGTGGCGAGAAGAGAGACTTAGAAGGTGTCAGCTCGTCTTTCTTTGTCATCCCTCTCTTCATGGCAGGTAGAGAGTTAAAATGTTTTACGATACTTTCAAGCAGGAAATTTTACTCGGAATCCCCGTATCAATCTAAGTAATTGAATGTTAGTGAGCTTAAGTTTTTATTGAGTTTAAATTTTTGTAAAATTTCGCTAAAAATTTAGCTTCTCCTTGTATGGGCACTTTTTACCCTTTTTTGAATTAATTAATTAAAACTGGCTGTCAAAAGGTTAAAACCACCTACAAAGATGTGTTAAGCAGGATGAGCTTGCTAAGCGTCGTCTTCCTCTTCGTTTTCTTTGAAAGAAATTGATTGTTTACGTTGCTCCCGTTGGCTACAGAAAAGGTTTGCGCATTATTAAATTCTTGTTACTAGAAGGCAAGTCGGGTTTCGTGTAGAAGCAAACTCGGTTAATTGATTTTTATTTACCTTAGAACTGCTATGAACAGATACTTGTAAATTTAAATTTTATTGCGGCCAAGGCACTCTGTTTCCAACTACACGACAAACAGGTCTTCCAGAGGCTCAACAAGGATCCACAGAATTTCTAAAACTCATCGATGGCGCATACTAAATACTTACTCGTCCACATTTAAAATACAAAATGGGAGTTTAGGCAAACATTTTTATTGATAACAAAAATCATTTAGCCGCTGAAAAGGTACCATTTGTCTCGTTAATTGCTCCTAACTGGCGACTGCTCGTAAATCAGGGCACGCAAGCGCACTGACAACAACAATAACGATGAAAACAAACAGCCAAATTAAAAGTTACGACTGAAATAAATAAAAATCCAGCGAAAAACACAATTACAGCAAAAAAAAACAGCGAAAAACATAAAAATTCATTTGCGAATAAGCAAATAGAGCGGTTGCTCTGTTAGCATGTATGTATGTATGTATATATGTATGTATGTCTGCGTGTATGTTTGTTTTTCTGCATTGCAACAACATTTATACTAACGACAGCAACAATTATTTTGCGCTTCACTGCCACACATCATTGCTTGTCAAGTGCTGGCGGTAGCCATGTGGCATGTGGCAGCAACTGCGGCTGGGGCTGTGGCTGTGGCTGCGGCAGTGGCAGTCGAAGTGCGTGGCATGGCAATTTAAGCCGGAGGCGCATTTAAATCGCGCTTCAATCGTTTACCAACAACGATAAAATCTTAAATGCCAGCCGACAGATGAATGAAAGACAAGAATTCGCGGTCAATTGGCAGCGAACGCGAAGAGGATGTAAGCCGCGATGCAGTTGTTGTGGTGTGCTGGGCGGTGGTGGTGGTGGTGCTGAGGATGTGGTGCATGTCAAGGATGTGAGCGGAGATGAATGGCTGTTTGAATGACTGAGTAGCTGCATAGATACGACAGCTTGAATGCGGCAAGTAAATAGACAAATGAGAAGCGAAATCGTATAGAAATGTGTGTGTTTATGAACAGTGTGGCAAAGCGCCAAGTTTGCACAGCGCTTGCTCAGCCAATGTAACAAGTCATCAAATTTTCCTTTACATGTGGCATGCCACACGTTGTTGGGTTGAAAGTTGCGATAAAAACTATGTGAATGTTCATACATAGCTATACACATATTCGTATGTACATTAGATTGTCCCAGAAAAAAGTTTGCCGTACACGACTGAGTCTAAAGTATTTTTGTAAGCTAATTAAAAAAAAAATTTTTTTTTGGTCGAACGTAGGGGTAGGGGCCTTTCGTCATATCTTCGTCATTTACAATCGGATCTCAAGGTATGATATATCGATATTCTTGTCTCAAGGAGAAAATTATTTTGTCCCAGGGTTCATTACCTCAAGTATCCCGTTCTAGTACTTACCCTCCAGCTCACTGTTCCTACCACCGCAATGTCAGTAATG